TGATGAGCTTCAGAAGCTAATGGCGATGGCCTCCAACCTATGAGCTTCAAAACGTATGTTAAAGATTCAAACAAAGAAAACCTCGGAGGATGCTTCTCCGCCACCTTTGCCACCTCCGCTTCCGCCGAAAGCATGGGCAGCTGTGGACGACTCGGACGACGTGGGTTATCCAAGTCCAATTGCGTTGCCCAACCCCCGGCTGTGGCAGCAACAGGCTGCAAGCGCTGCGAGCAAGGCGAGGAGTGTTGCCAAAGCAGCTTTGCCCCTCGTGTCTTGGCCGAATTCGCAGCTTCGCCGAAAAGTGCAAAGTGCCGGATGGGCATCGCTACTAGTAGCTGTAGCTCCTGGCATTACTACTAGGAACAAGAAGCTACGAACGTAACAAGGGCATCGCTGGTAACAAAGAGCATTACTAGTAGCAAGGGCATCGCTACTAGGAACAAGGACGCTACTAGGGGCTCGTGGCCTTACTACTAGGAGCAAGAACGCTACTAGTAGCAAGGGCATCGCTACTCATTTGCAGCTTCGCCGCCAAAGTGGTTGGCATCATCAGGCGATGCCGTCGATGCCCAGCAGTCCACCGCCTATAAGCGCCTCTCCTGCGAAGGCTTCAGCAGCTTCACCGGTCTCGCCGTTGCCTCCAACGGTGAAAGCCGGTTCAATGCCACTCGTTTTGACCAAGGCCAATGGCAAAGCCAACCCTCCCGTCCAATGTTGATGTCAGCAATTGAAGCTTGATGGCTCCCTGCTTTCAGAGAAACAAATCCAAACCGACAGTGTCGAATGAGTGTGATTCTTCAATGTGTTCCTTTCTTTTATGTCTTTGGTCTACACCACTTTGTGTCAATCGCTTTAGGTTGTCGATGTCTTTGCCCGGGCAGCAGCCGCTGCACCCGCCAGTGCCCAAAGGCGAGGTGGTGTGGACTCAGATTCAAAAGCCCCTAGTAGCGTCCTTGCTCCAAGTAGCAAGGCCAGGAGCCCCTAGTAGCTTCTTGTTCCTGAAAAGTTGCTGCTAAAAACATAGACTTTTTCCTGGAAGGCCGTGGAGAGGGGAGTAGAGGTTAGGTTGGAGGCCATTGCACTTAGGTTGGAGACCAGTAGTTTGCGAGCTAGATGTATCCAGACGATCCAGGATTCGGAGTTTCAGTCTTGAATCGGTGCCGAAACAGTTGGGGCAAGGAAGCTACTAGGGGCCTAGGGGCTCCTGGCCTCGCTACTAGGAGCAAGGGCCTTACTAGTAGTAACAAGAAGCTATTAGAAACAATAAGCTACTAGGAACAAGTGCATCGCTTCTAGTAACAAGTGCCTTACTAGTAGTAACAATAAATAGAATTTAATTAGAATATAAATAAAAATACTAGCAAAGAAGGCTACTAGGACCTTTTCGCGCGCGCGCGCGCGCGCGGGGGGGGTAGGAGCAAGGAAGCTACTAGAGGCTCCTGGCATCGCTACTAGGAGCATTCTTACTAGTAACAAGAAGCAACTAGTAACAAGGACGCTACGAACGGGGCTCCTGGCCTTACTACTAGGAGCAATGTTCTCTACGAACGTAACAAGAAGCCAAGTTTGTTCTTTAATTTTCGGGTCAGTCCGAATCCGATTAGGCGCTCCCTCTCGAGCGTCTGGCGCCAGAACGCCTCGAGGCGCCGGGGATGGAAGAGGGCCATGGCATTTGTCAAAGGTATGCATGGTCTAAAATAAAGAAGAAAAAGAAAAGGGTCTAAAGGTCTAGAGAAGACAAGGGAGAAAAAATCCGTTGAGTCTTCCAAATTCCGCATGAAGCGGATGAAATCCGTCAGCTGGGCTGTTTGTCAATCAAGGCAGGTCAGTACTGGTCAAGTCGTTTGTGCTAGGCATGATGGAGAGTGATAGCGACTTGGCTGCGTCACGGTGACTTTTTGGAGAACATATAGCAACAACCATGCTCAGGGAAATTACGCAGTTTGCCATCAAGGCAGGTGTTTACCTGGTGAACAAAAGAGAAGAAGGCCGAAAAGGGATAACCCAATTCTCAGATCCTCGTTTTTGGAGGAAAAGGAATCGCTCAACGTTTGTCGAGTCGAGGAAATGAGTCACCGCCAACGCCAAGAGAGTGATCGCCCTTGCGATCCGCTCGCAGGGGAACTCGGATCAATCCCAGTGAGAAGAAATGGGAGGTTGGACGATTCTTATACTACTAGCTTCTAGCTCCTAGTAGTACGGCCAGGAGCCCCGCTCCTAGTATCGATGCCCTTTGCTACTAGCTTCTTGTACCGACCTGAGACAAACATTGGGACGATTCAACCAAAAACACGCTGCAGTGCAGAGGCACAAGCGATAAGCACGGAGTTCTGATGTCTCCAGGGCTCCCCCTCGCCGTGTCTAGTAGTTCGTTGAAGCCGTTGATTTTAAAAAGGTTGCAAGGAACATCAAGGAACATCTCCAATGAATTTGCAAAGATTAAAGTAGGCATAGGCAAAGTCGCCATTTAGGCGATTGGTGAAGTGCAATGGTCGAAGATGGGGTGGTAGTTTAGTTGATCGTTGTTTGGCCTGAGAAGGGAGGAAAAAGGTCGGAAAGATTAAACTGGAAGAAAGAACATGATTCTTTGGTAACATGATTTGTTTGAAAGATTGGAAATCTTCGGGTCCGACATGGTTAGGTGGTGCGATAGTTTGCCTCACAAGGCAAAGATTTGGTAGAGTTTCATTCGCATCTATTTGCTCAACAGCCGGACCCTCTTGTGATGTTTCATGTTTGAAGCAAAGAACTCAAGGGAAGGAGTGTGGAGGCCATCGCTATTAAGGTGGAGGCCGTCGCTATTAGGGCAGAGGTACTCAAGGTGACTCACTCACTGTCAGTCTTCCTTGCAGCTTTTCTCGTAGATTTGCGAGAAGACGTTGACCAGCAGCAACATGAACACTTTCCAGCAGTAACAAGAAGCTAGTAGGAACAAGTGCCTTACTAGTAGGAACAAGAAGCTACTCGGGGCTCCTGGCATCGCTTCTAGTAACAAGTGCCTTACTAGGCGTCCCAAGATGTGCGCAAGCCAGACATGTGCTTTAGAGTCCAGACAGGGTGCCCCTCGTTGGGGGGGTCCCCAAGTCTACTTTTTCATGTGTTGCTGGAAGCTCAAAATGCAAAGTGCCAAAGTGCACAACTTCGCGCATTTTGAGATGCTCTCGCAGCTGTATCACGTATCAAGGAACATTGGCTTCGAAGGGAAACCTACTAATGGAGCCAACAACCTGGGTGTTCTACGATCTCACAGCATCTGAAGTCTCAAGTGGCTCAATCTGTGAGAGGATCATTTTACCTGAAGCTATATGTGAAAGCTACATTGTACATTAGCGATGGCCTCCAACCTGAAAGCTACATTGTACTGTACATATGCAGAAAAAAAGAGACTCAAAAATGAACTTCTGTGAGACTGTTGGCACTCGGGTTTTGGCACTTAGAGGCCACTGGAGCGGAATTAAGTCGCTCGTGGCTGGGGTGCACCGAATGACAGGGTGAGGTTAAAGGACAATATTTGAAAGAAAAAGTGCTATGAAAGTTGATAGTGAGTAGTTTGAGAGATATTTTTGGGGGGTCAAATGCGAGCGGCGTTCCGTGTGACACAAGATTCTATTCTCAAGGTTGAAAGACACTATGAAAATTCAGTTAGCTACTAGGAACAAGAAGCTTCTTGTTACTAGCAGTATGGCCAGGAGCCCTTAGTAGCGTCCTTGCTCCTACTAGCGATGGCCTCCAAGCCTTAAGTTTCCCTAAAAATCTAGGAACTAAATCATTAGTAGGAGCGCTTCTTCAAGGAAGCGTGAGCTATCCTGCGTCCAGTAGCTACTTAAGCTAATAGCTACCTCTTCTACTAGCTATTTAATTAGCTACCTAGCTACCTCTACTCACGGCCTACCCCCCGCCTCCTTTAAAGAAAAAGCGTTGTTTCTTAATTTTCAAAGAGAAAGGCTCGGAGATAACATGGAACTGCTCGAAGTTTGACCGAAACCGCCCTGCCGCAGTGTGGCTCGATTTTCTCACGGCTCACCTGGATTCAAGACGGATTCGGCGTGCTCGTGCACCAAAAAGGCGGAAACGTCGGGCACACCGGTGAATCACCACTCGAAAGACAAGAAAGAAGCCAAGGAAAAAACATAAATTTGTTGATTTCAGAATGTGTTGTTTTCATGTGTTTTTAAAAACATTGTCTAGAAATATAAAAGACAGTTGAAAGAACAATTTTTAGAAAGACATCGCGACCATCATGCCCTCAATTGGTTTTGCACGTTGGCCGTTTTCAGCTCCAAGCTTTGCGCCTGACGTGTGAGCAGCTCCAATGGTGCGTGCTTGAAGGCAACAAGAAATGAACAAGAAGATGTTGAAATGTTGCTTTTTTGTTGAGAGGATAGTTCACTCTTCGTTTGCATTCAATTTCCATTCAGACTTCTGTCCTTTGTGCACGGATTGGATTGTCCTAATTGCCCCGCGCACTTGAGTTTGGCGAGGTCTCGTGTTGGGAAGAGACAACGCATAGAACATATTTCAACATTTTTAACCTAGCTCCGCACGGACACAAGAATAGCAATAGCCTCCAAAAAGAAAGGAAAAGAAAGAAAGAAAAGAGATGACAAAAAATTGAGAAGCAATGGTTTCCATCCTAATAGCAATAGCCTTCATTCCAATAGAAATGGCCTTCAACCTAACACCGATGGGCTCCAACCTAGCTCCGCACGGACACAGTGGACACAATATAAGCTGTACTGTTTGCATAACATGCCAATTCAGCCTTAAAAGTGATAAGCTTGGCAACTAGGAGCAAGGACGCCACTAGGAGCAAAGGACATCGACTAGGAGCATGCTTGGAACAAGAAGCTAACCACCTGGAAGATGCAAATCATCTTCAACCCACAGAGATTTCCATCAACAAGAAGCAAGGGCTACTAGGGGCGCTCCTGACCTTACTACTAGTAACAAGAAGCTACTAGGAACAAGTGCATCGCTTCTAGTAACAAGTGCCTTACTAGATGAACATCAGCTCGCCATGCGGCTGCAGCTTCGACACTAGGCTCCGCATGGCGGGAGACGGGGACGATGCGGTTGGGATGGGTTGGACGATCGACACCGATGTACAACTCTTGTCGTCTTGGCCCTACCTCCCGTTCGTAGCGTCCTTGTTCCTACTAGTAAGGCACTTGTTACTAGTAGCGATGCCAGGAGCCCCTAGTAGCTTCTTGTTCCTACTAGTAAGGCACTTGTTACTAGTAGCGATGCCAGGAGCCCCGTTCGTAACGTCGCTCCTAGTAGCTTCTTGTTCCTAGTAGTACGACCAGGAGCCCCTAGTAACGTCGTTGCTCCTAGCGGCTTCGACCTCCTAGGGCAGGGAATCATTTCCCTTGCAGACTTGAAGAGCGTGGAGCGTAAAACCTTTCTGGTTGTTTGTTCATGTACAGGGTGGAGGCCGCTACCAGGGTGGCACAAACTGGTTTGTGTACTTTGGTGTTGAATGACTTCCAGTCACTGAGCCTCAAAGACAACAGCATGTTAAGGGTCCAAGATAAATACAGTATTCGGAAGAATGAAGGTAAGACATCACCTTGCCATTTGTGTACTCAGATTACATGCACGGCCTCGTCTTTGCTTGCACAAGCGCTAGCCGCTAGCGGTGAATCCGTCTGAGGACGCTCAGATCCCACGGAGAATCCGTCTGCGTTGCGCCAGACTTTCAGTTGAGGTATTTTCTCCCAAACAGGTGTTAAGCAGTGCTCAGATCGTCGCGCGGGCGTGGACGGCTAAGTCGCTGCTTCGACTGCGCAGGCTCGCGAAATCTGGGTGGCGGCGGCGAGTGCTTGTCGCGACTGCGCTCTCGTTGTGGTGCCGCTCGCATTTTCGTGGCAGGCGCAAGGGAAACCTGGTGCTTTGGTGGTTGGAGCATACCTCTACGAGAATGCTTCTTCTTTGTCCTAAATTTGAACATGTCTTTCTTTCTTTTCTTTCCTTTTCTTTTCTGTCCTTTCCTTTTCTTTCCTTGTCTTTTTTTATTGCCTTTTCTTTCCTTTTCTTTTTTTCTTGTTTTTCTTTCCTTTTTTTTCCTCTTCTGTCTTTTTCTTTCTTTCTTCCTTCCATATTCTCGTACTAATTAAATTTGCACAATCTTGGCAGACTCGACATCCGACCTCTAAAGCCTCTAAAGGTGGCGGTGAATAAGGTCACCTGCCAAGGCGGCCTGACACATCTGAATATGTTCTAGTAACAAGGGCATCGTTAATATGATGTAGAGGCCTGGACGCCGCTTGGAATGGGCTTTAGGTGTTCCCTTGTGTGGCATGCGACTGATGTTGTTTCCGTTGGTTTTGTGGGTCTAAATTGGATTGGTTTCGGTTTAGGTGAGTTCGTGACAGTTGATGTGACAATTTGTTTTTTTGTTTGGTTTGAAAAAAAATTAGTTGGCTGGTTTGCAGCGTTGTCATCCAGTCTGCTTCAGTTTGATTCGGTTTTGGGGCATGGCTTTGACCTGCATCGTTGCTGCTGTGCTGATGTGCCGGGTGTTGGCAGAGCCCAGCCAGCGAGGAAGTAAAGGAAACATCACTGGAGTGAACATTGGCAACAGTTCCATAGATCGCTCCCTTCGAGTCTTACACGGCTGGCCGCATCCTGGGTGTTGCACTGGCTGCAATCATTTTTGCTTTCCCAACAGCGGAAGGTGCTATGACAAGAAGGGCAAGTACTACTACCTCGAGCGCAGCCCAAGCACTGGTGGAGAGCACCAGGACTGCTGCAGCAAGTGTGGTGCATTTTGCTCTCCCAATAGTGGCAGCTGTTACGCTGGGAAAAGCCAGAGTTACTATTTGGATTGTCGGTCGTACTACTTTGTCGGGAACAAAAGGTGCAATCTTTTCCGTGGCAATGGCATGATCGACTACACCCCCAAGGTGACTTCAGCGACAGATTGCCGTGTTGCTTGACAGAACACCCCTTCCTGTAAGGTCTTCAATTATGCGGCACCTGGTACGGCCTGCGGTGGTGGTCCAACATGCCAGCTGTTCCGCGAATGGTGCTCCTCTGGGTTTACAGAAGATCCATCCTGGGAACTGTATAACCTAGATTGAAACTGAATTGTGAACCAGCTGGCACAACAGTCCTGGCAGACAACAACGACCGCACGCAGGAATTTTGCGCTTTTGCACTTTGCCCATGTCAGATGTCTTTTCTGACTGCATAGAATGGAAAGCTCTTGTAATTAAAGTGCGATCACCCATTGTAAAGCATGATGGGTTACAGGCCCCGATGTTCAAGCCACGGCTTGCACAGGCATGGACTCGGAGAAGGTGATGGCGTCAGCAAACAGACCTCACTGACTGCGTCGTGACTTGCCAACCGGCAAAAGACACGCTTTGGCTTCGACTCCTTCGACCTTGTTGCCACTGCCAAAGAAGGAAGTACTGTATGCGTGAACACAGCAACCAATGAGGCTAGATCAATCGACTGTAAAATCAGACAATTAGTAGCGATGCCCTTTGCTCCTAGTAGCGTTATTGTTCCTAGTAGTAAGGCCACGAGCGCCCCCTACTAGTGGCGTCTTTGCTCCTAGTTGGATCTGGTACATTGACAGGTGACGTTGCGACCCATGCTGTGGCAAGGCTTGTTTGGAGGGAACTTGTTTCGCTGTTTTGTGCTGTTGAAGGCCATCGCTATTAGGTTGGAGGCCATCACTATTAAAGCACTTTTTTACGCAAAAAATGCTTTGAAGACGTGTATGTGTCTTTCCCACCCTTTTCAGGGCTTCAGAGTCTTTCTGGCGCTTTGAGTTTTTGCCCACAGAACCCAGCAGCTGTCAATCAGCACAGCGAGATCTCACTTTGAGCATTCTGAGACTTTTCCTAGGAAACTAGGAAACGCATATTGCAACCTCACCTTGAAGCGTGCGGCGAGGCACTTGGAAACCATGTCAAATCTAAGTCCGTCAAGGGCAAGAAGTGCTTTTAGCCCAGAACTGTGCACAGAATATCCAATCAAGAACACCAGCCTAGCGGTAAGATGCCTGGTGCGCAATCGCCATGGGATGTGGCTGTGTGAAGGCGCGCAGAACACCACAAGTCGTGTTCGTTGTGAAAATGGAAGATTTTGCAAACCATTTGGAAAGCCGAGACTAGCAACATTACTTGTAACAAGATGGTAACACATCGCTAGTGCGGGTAGCTTCTGGAGCACCACAAACAGAAGCTGACACAATGTCGGCGTTATAGAGCTCGATGCACTTTGAACAATGATATGGGCACTGTTTTAGCCACAGCGATCAAAGATATGGCGAGAGCGATATGAACCGCGCTGACAAAAACTGGCGGCTGTCCTTTTCACTTCGAACCAAGAAGCTTCATGAACACTCTATGGCTTGGGTGTGAATGAGTTGATGGAAACCACATGCCCCCGGGATCCTCCGGCTCGTCCGGCTTCGACTTGAGCGCCTCAGCGCGTTTTCCATCTTGCTCCATTTAAAAGAACCTTGTCAACTGTTGGTGTTCCCCTTGGTTTGTGAGTGAGTTTTTGCTAGCTGTGCTTTTGACAGCACCCAGCGTAAAGCTAGGTTGGTCTCTTCCATGGCCTGCTTGAGGCCTATCAGACACACGACGCTCTGGTCCTTTAGGAACATAGACCTCATGCTTCAGTTTATCGTAGACATTGGTGGCATCTGCCAGCAGGACTGAAGGCACTTTAGCAACTTGAAGTCGAACATTCACGTGTCCTCCACACATTTCAAAGAAGTGAAATCTCACTGCGTGCAAAAGGTCCTGACAGGGCGGCCAAACTCCCAACCGCTCCTGGACTACAACATTGTCGTGTCATCTTGGCTGACTGCCAACTCAGTGGACTGACTTGGCACATCTCCCCATCTAATAACCTCTTCAGGTGGCACGAATGGAAAACTTACCATCAACCACCCTCTTTTGACACGCAGTGTCGGCCAACCAGCGACTTGAGACCTGGTCAAACGTCATGCTTCCAAACACCTGGATCGCATTTTTCTCGTTGGCCCTCATGGTCCGGACCGCGCTGGTGTTTACCTGCGACAGCAGCAGGTTCACACCAGCGTTCGACTGCGGTTGTGTCAGTTGTGCGCACCAGGAATCAGGACAGGGCACTGAGTGCTGCCCTGAGCCGAGACTTCTCTCGGTCCGTTGTGGGCGAGCCTGGTTGTTTGCGAGGTTCGGCTGCCAAACTAAGCTCTTTGACATCTTCGATGTACTGAGTTTGTGACAGTTCGAAACTATAGTCACCCAACTGCTGCACGAAAACCCCACACTGAGTAAAGGAAGAACTTTTCCACAAAATTGAACGAAATTTTTTTGATTTGTTCACACAAGTTTCAAGTCTTGTGGGCTATAGACCTCTTGCCGATATGAGCGCGAGTTTCTTGCTACGAAGGCTTTCTCCGCAACACGCATTCGCTCGTGATTCCTGTGGAATTCTCCAGGGCTAATATTTTCACACAAGACTTGAGGGAGATCTCGCAATTGACTCACACGCAGTCGTCCCGGCATCCGGCGAGCGGCCCAGGAGTGCTGAGCGGGTGAAAAAGCCCTCACAATCTCTTTCTTGGTTGCCCCCGAATTGCTTCCGCCAGTACCTCTTCTGCTGTGAGTTGCTGAGAATTTGGGTCAGCTCGAATTGTGTCATTGCCACTGCGCTAAGCTTAGGCGCCGAAGCCCACGTAATCCTGTTGATGTCCATGACCATGTAGGCATGTTCCAACGCCTTGAGCTTCAACTTCTCCACGGTGTTATGTGGGCTCACATTTGCCAATGGTTTTCTCTATGTATTCGATCCGGGTGGACTGGCGCCACCCTTTTGGAGCGGTCTCTCCATCCTTCAATTACTTCCGGAGAGCGGCCAAAAGGTCATATCGGCCAGCGCTGCCATGTTGGTAGTGGCAATGCGTCAAACACGTGGAGAGGCGCAAGCATCACTTTGCGGCACTCGCTGCGCCGCCGAATGTGAAATGAGACTGTCGCGACGTCCTTCACTTGGAAATGGAAACTCACAAAGCTGACATGTTTCCCGTGACACTGACAACAGTTTAGACTTTAATTGAAATCTGGTTCAATGGTTTGTCGGGTTTCTGACATCTTTGGTTCAACCATGTCCCCCGCACCGAACGAACTCGTTAAGAGCAAGGCTGAAACGTCTAAGGATCTAGGCTGGCTAAGGTCGGAACCATTGAGCTGTAGAATCTAAGGTCTTCACTAAGACCGGAACGGTGCGGGCGGTGTTGTTCGCACGCTGTTGCTGCCTTGACGCGGGATCTGGTTCAGGGCCTGGGCCTGATTTCGTTCCGAGTTCCTTTCCCGGTTTTTCCGCTGGGTGTCTTCGGTCCTTTGGAATCCAAATTTCCTTCGCACCCATCATTTCCTCCTACCCCACTCTCACGGCAGGCTCACGAGCAGAAAGGTGTGACAGCTGGGACGCTTGGTTAAACGCGTCTTTTGTCAGCGGCACCACTTGGTCGCCTGCAGCTCCTGCGCGCTCGAGGTGAAGCAACTTTCAATCGTCGTGCACATGCCGACAACAGCAAATCATTCTCAAAATCAACGACCGCCTGGCCTGTAGCTTTCGAAGAGACAGACTTTATAATTGGTACGCATCCCTTGCCGAGCGCATGAACCTTGAGGAGGTTGTCCCGACCGTTCATGAGGACTTCTAAACAAGCCGTGGATGTGCACTGGTCTTGGGATGCATTGCCGAAACCGAAGCCGGGGAGTGAACGCCGCGTTCCACTACCTTTGACAAAGCATGCACCGAGCAATGGTACGAGTGGCTCCCCCATCGATCACCGCTTCCCCTGTTCAACCACCTTGGAGGTAGTCAGTCTCGCGCTCCAGACCAGAGTCACGACGTGTTCCTGAGTGGCTGCATCAATGCCCAATGATTCAGGAAGGAAGACAAAAGGCGCGAAAGCGCTTCATTGTCCCTTGTTGGGTCTAGGTCGGACCGGACCGGGAAATATTGCGTCACCGTCTTCACGAGTTCTGGCTTCTTTGAGGGTCTTTCGCCCCCTGGATCATAGCATATGCTTCTTGAGCCCTTTGGCCCTTTGGTCCTCTGTCATCATGGCCTCCACATCTTCCTTCAAGTATCCCTCAGACAGAAGTCCTTCAGGATCGCATTCCCAAGACATGCTAGCCAGTCTTCTTCTGGTCCTGAATCATGTTGGCAAAGTTCTTGATCACGTCTCTTCAGATCACTGTGCACTTCACACGCTGAATCTGAAACTCCCTTGAAGTTCAGCCTGGAGTACATTCCTCTCCATGCGACGACGCGATGTATTGGTGCCTCCTGACCTGACGCAGCTCCCATCGGTTGCAAGGAAGATCCACGATGGCTCCACCCCGGGCTATCTTGCGCGCATAATCCTGAAATCTTGCCATTGACTGCTGGGCCTCGGCCTCGGCCTTGCGAGTCACTGGACTCGCCACGAAGTCGCCTGGTGCGTTTGAAGTACTTCATGAGGAGCTTGCTCATCTTTGCTACTTTGGCTCACCACGCTCAGCTCTAAGAACTTCAATCAGCCAGCAAACACCCCCATCATAGGACAACCCATCAGCGGGGCGGCCTATCAGAACTCGTTTGGCAGGACCCCGTAGTTCATTTGCAATGCTTGGACCACACAAACGGCGCTTCTCCTTGACGATTGTTTGCTCATACTTCAAACAAGCCCCCCATTCCATATCGGAATGCCATCCTTGTTCTTCTGCAAGCTACCCCCATACTCAGCTCGGCCTGGCGGAGCTGAGTACATCCCCTGTGAGCCTTCGGTAGGCTCCGCTACCATGCGGGTAGCCTTTGGAGCACTACAAACAGAAACTGACACAACGTCGGCGTTATAGAGCTCGATGCACTTGGACCCATGTGATGTTATTGGCACTTCCCCCAGTGACAGCGATCAAAGTATGGGGATCGCTACTCCTAACAATAACGGTTTTCTCAGCCATGCCCTGGCGACGTTCTAAATAGAAAGCATTCTTCTACGACGAAAAGATATCTCGGGCACCTGGCCCCAGACACTTTCCAGAAGCATTCCTTTTTAAAGAAATATGGTCTAAAGGTCTGAATAGAAGAACGAAAGAAGCGAAAGAGTAACAAGGGCATCGCTACTAGTAGCTCTTGGCATTACTAGTAGGAACGAGAAGCTACTAGTAGCAAAGGGCATTACTGCTAGCAGCTCCTCTCACCTAGTGACAGGGGCATCGGGGGCTCAAACCTATAGAGGGGTAAGGCATTGCAAACCTGACACAACCGTTTTTCACTTGCAGGTCGTAACGTTCAGAAAGAGTTGCAATTAAAACCATGCATTTGTTAAGAAACGTTCACACCCAATTAAATGCCTCACACAAGAACAGGAAAGAAAGGTCAAGGGGAAGACAAAAAAGCAGAAGAACAGAAGGGGCCGAAAAGGCTGCGAATGGCTGCGGGGTGTGTACGGGTGCCACGCACGCGTGCCACCACCAGACGAAGTGTTTCTTGCCTTTAAGGTCGCATTTCTTGTTTCAAGTGGAGTTGCTAGAGCGGAAAACCGTGTTGAGGCGTCTTAGTTTCCATTGTTTCCGCCTCAAACGCAGTCTTGACGAACCAGATTGTTTGCGGCGTCGTATAATTTTCTGCATCGTGGATTCACATTGGGACCGTTGCTCCAAGAAAGTCGACGCAGTCTTTGCAACTCTTGAAATATGACATGACGTTTCCCTAAACATGTAGGAACCAAATCATTGGAGGCGTGAGCTATACTGCATCCATGTGTAATAGTTTAAGTAGCTAGTAGTTTATTTCCTTACTTCATCAAGTAGGCGCGTGGACGCAGGATAGTTAATGCTTCTTCAAGGAAAACGCCTTGCATCTGCACGTGATCAGCGTTGAAAATATAGCGTCCGGGAACCATCTGCCAGAGCAGCCACTCCAACAATTCCAGCGCCCGCGAGTCTCTAGTTTTTTGCTACTAGTAGCGATGCACCTTGTTCCTGGTAGTTTCCTGCTACTAGTAGCAATGCCCTTGTTACTGGTAGCTTTGCACAAGTAATAGCAATCATTAAGTTGCACCTCTTACTAGTAACAAGTGCATCGCTATTGGAAAAGCAAGCCACTGTGGCTCGACAGAAGGTGATACGATGCCATGGTGGTTCAGCACGCGCACGTGTTTTACTGCGGCGTGCCAGCGTGGGCAGCTGCCTGGCGGGCAGCCTGCCATCACAGGTCAGGAGCTACTAGTAGCGTCCTTGCACAAGTGCATAGAATGGTTGCTTGCGATTTGCCGGCCAATGGATGTGTTCATTGATTTTTCTATGTTCCTCCGACTATTCCGTCTACATGCCACGCACAACGTCAAAGAAGACTAGACTGACGAACTGAAGAGATGAAGGAGACCGTGATTGACTCTTTTCTGTCGCCTCAACAAAGGATTGCCTTGGAAACGCGATGCACTTCCAGGGAATTAAGAATAAGGTTGAAGAAGCTACTAGGAACAAGTGCATCGCTTCTAGTAACAAGTGCCTTACTAGTAGTAACAAGAAGCTATTAGAATAAAGAATAAGGTTGAATAAAGAATACAGCATAATGAATTTCTTGGATGCGTCAAGGAGATGCGCAACTTCACGTGCTTCACTTTTCCGTGCCTTGCTGCTCACGTTTTTCCCTTCCATCTCACCCGTGGTCTTAGCTTCAATTTGTTGTCTACAGTGCTGTTTTGTTCGGTTCATCAAATCCTGACTGGATGTAAATTAACGAACTCCATGCTAAATGGACTAAGTACAAAGAAGCTACTAGGGGCTCCTGGCATCGCTACTAGGAGCAAGGAATGGTGAAGTACTGTGTGCGACGCAGTGCGAATCGTGAGCAGCCTCTGGAGGGCACGTCCGTTAGCACGTCATCCAGCGCTCGAATTAGCAAGGGAGTCGCTATTGGAAGCTTGGGCGAAAGTAGCAGCTACTGCTTGGGAGTTTTCAAAATTTGAGGGAAACTAATAACCTTCTCATCTCACCCAGCGACCTGCTGTTCCGCACGAACGGTTGCGAAGGGGCGCTGAGAAGGCACGGAACGAGCGCACCACGTTCACACAAAAATTGCGGCGCAACAATATCGGGCATCGATTCATCGCATCTTCTTGTTATGAGAAAAGCCCAGCCCTCCCTGTTGTTTCTGAATTTCCGCAGGCGGGCATTGAGTTCAGCATCACTTGCTAGTGGAAACAAACAGTCTTACTTTTTGCAAGAATGTGTAAATGAAAAACTTGAAATGTTTGTCCATATCAACACTATGTCAGGAATCTGCCGTGGAACCAGGGCAGCCAGTGCATGATGGCACTACAACTGGAAGGACAGAGCTTAGGTTTTTCAAATCCAGTCAAGTCGAAGACCGAAGGCCTACGGCGAAAAGTTGACTGTTGGAAGTGTGTTCTTGTGTTTTGGCATGCGTTAGCTTTGATTTGTGGCTTGACCGTTTGATCCCACGACTTCTTTTGATGCCTGGAGTTTGTCTTGGCCAAGCACCTTTGCACTTGTTTCGCTAATCTCCGCAGGACCATCAAGGTGGGTGGTTTCAAAGGCGGCCGCCCTACATTGGCAGAATTGCAGAAGTTGAACATCCCAGGTGACTTGCAAACGGTCTGAACTTCCTACTTTTTCAAGTCGCAGCAATGCCTAAAAATTTGCCAACAACATGTGTCTCCTGGAAGTTGGTGGGCACTTTTCTTTAAAGAGACCAATGAGACCAATGTTTGGTGCTTGTTTTTGTTGTTGTCGTTGATGTTGGTGATGGTGGCGGTTGGTCCGTTTTTCTCAGACCTGCCGATTGCAGCAAATCTTCACAAGACTTCCAAAACCAGACTTCGTGGCTTTAAACAGAAAAGTGAAAAGCAGATCTTGGACTCTTGGGCCTCGAATTTCTCATCCACTTCACTGAAAGGCGAAACTGATCGTTTTGGTGTGTGGAGGGCAGGACGCTAGTAGTAACAAAGGGCATCGCTACAAACGGAGGAAGAAGCTACTGGTAGCTCCTGGCCTTACATACTAGTAACAAGGATGCTACTAGGATGGAGGCCATTGCTAGTAGGTTGGCTGTGGAGGTATGTCCTGTTTTGGCCCTGGAGTGGCACAGGACTAGACACTGACTGCAGCTACACGGGCCTGCAAGATCGCTTTGCGCGAAACTTCTTCACCATTGCTCCTAGTAGCGATACCAGGAGCCTCTAGTAGCTTCTTGCTCCTAGTAATGTGTAAAGAGAGTCAGCACAAGGGCCAATTCAGAAATACGCCTGCTGGCCCTTCTTGCCCATGCTGCCCCATGCTCTTTTTGTCTTTGTGTGTGTGTGCCCTGGACGAGTTTGACAGTGTGGTAGGCCTAGATGAGCAATTGGGCAGCGATAAAAAGGCGCGCCCAGTGGGGCCGGTGCAACGTGGAACGACATGGAACGAGTAGCTAGAAGCTACTAGAAAACAAGTGCATTACTATTAGCTATTTGATATTGTATGGAATGAACACGTGTTGTGCCTTGTTGCAACTTGGCCAGCTTGAGCAACGCTTCAAATCATGTCGAGGCCTTTGGAAGTGACCAGACTTCCGGAAAAGGCCTCCGCTCTGGCGCAAGTTGCTTGGAAGTTTTGGAGAAGCGCAGCTTGACTGCACCCGCTGTTGAAATTCTGTTTTTGTTCCTTTCAAAAAAAAATCGCTGACTTAGCTCCAGTCTTTGATCGCTTCTGGCCGAAGACTTTTCAGAACCTCTCTTCTTGGAGTTTGTGTGTTTGTGTGTGTGTGTGTGTCACACTCCGTTTCCAGGAGTTCGTAACCTACCTTTCACCCACAAAGTTTCGCAGGGGGCAGTGACAGAGTTTGTGAAATCACTGCCAACGAAGATGTCCACATTCTCTGGTGATGCATCGGGAGACGTCCTGATGTGTACCTGCGATTGGAACTGTTGAGCCCGTCCGCTGTTCTCGTTTTGCATGGTGGTTCTCCATGATACTCCCCCAAACAGGTTTCCCTCCGCCGCTTTCAGCTGCCGCACTTCCACTGTCAACACTGTTGAACATTTCAGCTGAGCCGACTTTGCGCCTTTCCGTTCCCTCATCCATTTTACTGTGGATTATGATTAACTGCAAACCCTGTGACTAAGTGTGTGATTGGTTGGAAAGAAGTGGTGTCCAGCACGCAAGGGCTCGTGCCAAGGCATTGTTCTTTTGTGGCACAACTGTAAAAGAGGAAAGACTGTGAAGAATAACAGAGTGCTTAGCACTTTTGACATGGTTTCTTTTGTGTACGTTTGTGTGTGTGCGCGGGAGGTTACGTTGCTGCCAAATGTGTTCTTCTCACTGGAGCTCTTTCCTAGGTTGACGTGAGGAAAAGTCAAGGGTTGGAAAACAAGAGCTTCTTTACTTGATGCACTGGGCCGGATTTTTCTCAAAAAAGACTGGATTTGGGGACTTGGCGTGCCACCCAAGGATCTGTACTTGTGGCTGTGAGGGCGCGTCCTCTGAATGATCGAGAGAAGACGGCCGCATCGGGGGAGTGCCTGACTTTTCAGGCGATGCCGTTTTCGTGTGGCCGGGGTAGGCCGAGGTAGCTAGTAGAAACTAGTAGAAGCTAGGTAGCTACTACCTTACTAGTACGCCACTAGGAACTGGACGCAGGATAGCGCTCGCACTAATCATTTGGTTCCTACTTTTTTAGGGACACCTAGTATCTAATTATAGTGGTCTTGGCGAAGGTCAAAGTAGTTTGCGGAGTTTGCGTTACAGATGGTTCATATAAGCAGGATCGTAGTGGCCAAACAGCAGGGGATACCTATCAAAAAGAAAATTGATTCCTATCAAAAAGAAAATTAATTCCTATCAAAAAAACATAAATTCGTATCAAAAATAAAATTCCCCCTACTCGTGCTGGTTCCCTGGTCGCTTGGTCCCTTGGTCCTCTGGTCCCTTGGTCCCTTGGTCCCCTGGTCCCTTGGTCCCTCTGGTCCCTTGCTCCTCTGGTCCTTTGGTCCTTCGTCCTGGTCTTCGGGTCCTTGGGTCTGTACTTTCGAGGCAAGACGCGTTAAAGGTGATTTGGAAATCTGGTCATACATCCTGTGAAGCACCGTAGCAGACCTTTTATTGCCAGACGTAGCACACCCTTTTTTTGTGAGCCACCCTGACGGTAAAATTTAGACGAAGAAAGTGCCATTCCAAGGTAGCAAACCTTTTGTGAGCCACCTGAGGGCAAAATTTTGAAGAGGAAGGAGCCATTCCAACGTTGCAGACCTTTTGTTAGCCTTGCGAGGTTAAAACTTAGAGGAAGAAGTTGATATTCCAACGTAGCAGGCCTTTGTTTTGTGAGCAACGCGAGGGTAGAATTTGCTATTCCGACGTAGCAGGCCTTTTGTGAGCCACCCGGGGATAAACTCTAGGTGCCACGCCAAGGTAGCAGACCTTTTGCGAGCAAAATTTAGAGGAGCAGTAGACCTTTTGTGAGCCACGCGAGGGCAAAATTTACAGGAGCAGACCTGTTGTCAGCATAAACTTTGGAGGAGGAAGGTGCCATTCCAACATAGCAGACCTTTTGTGAGCCATCCACAGGTCTTGTGGTTTTGTGAGCCATCGTGAAATTCAGAGAGATCACGGTTGAGATGCAGAGAGGTCTACATCTACAAAGATCCAGAGGCCTGGAGATCCAGACGGATCTGCAGGTGTAGGATAGACCTAAAGATGGAGGTTTAGAGGTTTTGAGTCTTGAGATCCAGGGAGGTGGTGAAATCTAAGTTCTAGGCGTCTATACTTGCAGAGGGTGTAGAAAGATGTTCAGATCCAGAGATATCAAGAGCTCTTTTCACAGGTCTTCAGATCCATAGAATTCTACAAACGCCACGCAAACTGCACTACAAGGTTCGCAATCGCTGCGCTTGCCACGAAGTCTGCGCTTCTGGACAGAAGTTCAAGCAATCTGCACTTCGAGGTTCACGAAGTGCTGCACCTGCCATGAAATCTGCAGTTCCAGTGCGCAAAATGCTGCGCCTGCCACGAGCCCTGCAACTGAAGGTGCTCAAAGTGCTGCGTGCAAAGTTCCGCTCCTGCCACGAAACCTGCTACTGGAGGTGCTCAAAGTGGTGCGCCTGCCACGAAATCTGCAGTTCCAGCGCACAAAGTGCTGCTCCTGCCACGAAATCTGCTACTGGAGATGCTCAAAGTGCTGCCCGCGCCACGAAATATGCACATCCAGATTCACATCGCGCAGCGCTGCCAAGGCGGTTTGCAGTGGCAGGCGCAGCTCTTTGTGAGAGATATTTTGTTTTTGATACAAATTAATTTTCTTTTTGATAGGATATAGAAATTTTCTTTTTGATATATATTAGTTTTCTTTTTGATAGCCCGGCCAAAAAGCAGTGGGGGCACGGCGCTTTCACTTGCGAGACATGAAAGGTGCCAAAACTAAACGGATCTCTCTCCAGTTATATAAGTCTAATATAGTTTGCTACTAAGTTGGAGGCCAGGCCATCACTATTAGGTTGGAGGCCATCACTATTAGCTTGGAGGCCATCGCTATTTGAAGCATTCTTGTTAAGAAAGGTCTAAAAGGTTAAGTTTCCAGAAAAATCTAGGAAGAAAATGAATAGTGCAAGGGCTTTCCTGTTTCCAGTAGCTAGTAGTTTTTTTAGCTTAGTAGCCTGCTTGTGTTGCTTGGCTGTGTTCAAGCTACTTACCCCCTTACCCCGCCTTGCCCCTTTTCATATAAAAGAAAGGACACACTGACATACTTGTATGTGTATGTCCGTGAGGATGCCACAGGCTTAACCCTGCACCGAGATGATGACAGAGAACATCGCTTCGCCTTTGATTGCGTGATGTCTCAAGATGTTGGTCAGCGCGAAGTATACGAAGCCGTTCCTGCACTTGACGTGTTATTCGGTTTTGATGTGACATATTGGATTAGAAAGCCAATTGCTAGAATTATAGTGTTTTTTTACGTCGCAGGCCGAGCAGATTGCCTTTCTGAAAAATCTTTAGGGGAGTGGCCGGTCAGCTCTTGTGATTTGCAAGGACAGGACAGCACGACCATTGCTGCACAAAGTCCTAGAAGGTTCCGACCTCAGCCAATTCAAACAATGAGCATGAGCGAGCATGAGGTAGTGAAGCGGCAAAAATCCAACAACCTCGCAATCGCGCGCTTGTCGAGGGAAGAGAAGCTAGTCGTAACAAGTGCATCGCTACTAGTAACAGGTGCCTTACTACTAGTAACAAGAAGC